CCACCAGTGTGCAGCCCCACCTGGATGATGCACCAGTACTCTCCCCACACACCAGCTCTCAGTGGGGAGGAGAACAGAGTGATGAAGCCAGTTCAGAGATGGGGATTTTAGGAGGCCATGATTGGTAAAGGCCAGGGGGAAATTTGGCCAGGTCACTGGGGTAACACCCCTACTGTTTTCAAGAAACACCCTGGGATTTTTAATGACCACGGAGAGTCAGGACCTCGGTTTTAAGTCTCATCTAAAGGACAGTGCCTATTTGTACAGAATAGTGTCCCCGTCACTATACTGGGGCATTAGGACCCACACTGACCTTATTTAGAACACGAGTTTGGTCTCCAGGTTCTAGAAAAGGATCGGCCCAGAGAAGAGCTACATCTGGGGCTCAAGGGATTGTCCCACACTGACAATCCGACAGCGTGGAGGAGCTGGAACGTTCCAGTCTAGAGCAGAGAAAACTCCGAGGAGACCTGATACAGGCCCTCAAAATCCTCAAGAGTCAACCCGGCGATCTTCTTCAGAACAACCGGTGAAATATGAATCAGAGAGCACAAGTGGACACTATGTGGACGTACATTCAGGACCGAGAACAAGACACACTTCTGTAAACAAAGGGTTGCGAGAGTCTGGCACAAACGTCCCAGTCACGCAGCTGAAGTCAATACTCTGGCTTCTCTCTGTAAACCGCTGGTTGAGATCCTCAGATCAATTAACAACCAAACTGGCCGAATGAATCAAATGGCTCCTCTTGTAGGTACCCTTTCATCATGTTGACTCAGGCTAAACAACAGGAACATCACCCAGAGCTAAGGGCTCAGTATGTGCAGGACTGCACGCGATCTCCCAAAGACACAGCTTCTCGGACCACAAAAAGCCCCCGCCCCCCGTCGCTGGGCTTACCCCTTGAAGTGCAGCTGGGCCAGTTTGAAGAGCTGGTGCCCCAGTTCGACGCTGTCCTCTCCGTGATGGGAGCGCACCGCCTCCACACTGCGTCTCAGCTGGGCGGCCGCCTGGTTCCAGCGCCCTGCAGCGTCGCGCGCGCACGCGTCGACAGACAGGAGGCGGCAGTGAGCCCCTCTGCGTACATTAGCACGCCCCCCCCACTCCCGGCCCACTCCCAGAACGACGAAACAGCGAACTCTCCTTCGCCCAACCGTTCTATTGCAGACCGAAGCGAAGCAGGAGAGACACACGCCGCGGTTCGAACCCACAGCCCAGCCGGAGTGCGCCCCGGCGCGGGGGGCTGCCCAGGGGCTGGGGGGCACTCACCGAGTGTGGCGTAGGCCCGCGCCAGGGCGTCTGCAGCTTCTCCCTGCAGGGGGTGACTCGGGGACAGGAACGCGCTGGCGAGGCTGACTGCTTCCTGCAGCTGCTGCACGGCTTCCTCTGAGGGAGGGAGGAGAGACATGAGGGACACGTGGGCCTCGGGGTGCCCTCCACAGGCACGCCACGCGGCCGCAGGGTGCACCCCGAGTGAGAACACTCTGAAACCCCAGCAGGGGAGAGGAAGGTGCTCAAGACCGGCGGCCCACTGCCCCTCACCTGGCTGTCCCGTCTCCAGCAGGCTCACCGCCCCCGCCACGAGGCCCTGGACGGCCTGCAGTCTGTGGGACAGGTCCGCCCGGGGCAGGACGAAGCCGCAGGAAGCCTGGGAGCAGACGTAGCCCTCCTCGCAGCGCTGGAGCCAGGGACACACAAACCGTTAACAGTAATAATGAATAATTCCCTACACTTATATAGCGCTTTTCTGGACACTCCACTCAAAGCGCTTTACAGGTAATGGGGATCCCCTCCACCCCCACCAGTGTGCAGCCCCACCTGGATGATGCACCAGTCCTCTCCCCACACACCAGCTCTCAGTGGGGAGGAGAGCAGAGGGATGAAGCCAGTTCAGAGAGGGGGATTATTAGGAGGCATTGGTAAAGGCCAGGACACCAGGGTAACACCCCTACTCTTTTCAAGAAACACCCTGGGATTTTAATGACCACAGAGAGTCAGGACCTCAGTTTTACGTCTCATCTGAAGTATAGTATAGTATCGTATAGTGTCCCATCACTATACTGGGGCATTAGGACCCACACAGACCGCGGTGTGAACGCACCTGGACAGCGGAGTGGCACCGCATGCAGCACACTCCCAGCACCTCCCTCCCGTGACCTCTGCACTCTGACTCCAGCTCCTGGCAGCAGGCGGCACACTGGCACTGGAAGAAATACTGCTCCTGCAGGAGGCGCTGGCGCTCTCTCACCGCCATCCTGCTGCGGTGCGGTCCTGGAGGGGAGGAGACGGGGGCTCGGATTCATTGATCCCTGCCAGGACTGCAGCTTGAGCTCTACTGCCTGGGCATC